CTGGGGATAGAGTGGTGAACAGGACAGAAAATAGAGCAAGGTGGTGTTTTTGTCGCACAAAGGCAGTGCTCTGAACGCTTCTGTAATTCAGACAGGCGTTAAGGTGTTCTTGTCTCTCAAGTGATCAGCTTCCTTGCTCTGGTGTTCTAGGATGTAGTCCCATTTCTTTCTATTGTCTACGTTTTCTAGGAGGGGGAATTTCTAACTTCACCACGCTCTCCTGCATTATGTGGGTTGTGCAGTGTTCTGCCCAGTACCAGTTTGGACTGGTCTCATCCATTTGAAGACTGCATGCAACTGCCGTGCAGGTGCTGCCATTCCAGTGAAGGACTTTGGTGTCATTTCCCCTCTAAAGCAAAAACGTTCCTTTAAAGGAAACAGGTTATTTGTCAGCATTCAAGATATCATTTTGGGAGCTTTCTCCTCCATTTGGGGATCTTTTCCCTTCTGAACAGATTAGAAATGCCTTTTTGGTTATTTTCATTCTTAAGCACAAGACCTTGTTGCTTTTAGTTATTTCAGATTAATGAGCTGCTAATCTACCCTGAAGAGGAACTTCATGGGAAATTATCATCATGAAAGCTTTCAGAGGCAGCTCAGGAGATTTGGGCTGAGGGCCTTTGACTTTGCTAGTGTGTACTGGTGAGCAGCATGTGTAAAATAGGCTGTCTAGGGTTTGTGGGGTGGCCTTATGCCATCAGGGACCCAGGCTCCCATCTTTCTGCTCCATAGCCTTAATGTGTCCTCAATGTCACCTCTGTGTCTAATCATAACTGTGTTTTGGAGGGAGGAGGTGAAAGGGAGTAGAAAAGAACAAGCTCCCAGTTGAGTTAGCCCCTTTGAAGAGTCTTTCCTGGAAGCTCCACCCAGTAACTTATTAGCCGCACTTGGCTGCAAGGAAGTCTGGGAAATGTAGTCTTAGCTGGGCACATTGCCACCTGTAACAAAATGAGGGTTCTGTTAGCAAGGAGGAAGAAGAGAATGGTTGTTAAGAAAGCAGCTTGCAGTCTCTGTCACATTTAACTGTGCATTTTACCCAGAAAGCACATGAAATTTCATTCACGTAACAGAATTAAGCCATCAGCACCAGCAGTCCATGCAGCCTTCCACCTGTGTTGAGATATTATTATACAAATAGAGTTAGCTGTCACTGACATATCTCCAGCTACATTTCTTAGACCCTGGTGGTGTTTGTGGTATTTGCACTAACTTCAGACACAACCCCTGCTCTACTCTTGTTCTAGAGCATTCTCCTTCCCATTTGTTTCATTTCAGAGCACGTGGTGACCTTTGTTTTCTATCTTAGGCTGCATAGGTAAAAAGTACCTTTGGTTTTGAGGTACTTATAGATTTTTAGAGAATTTTAAAATATTTTATTCATCTAATTTTAAAATTAAGGAACAGACTATAACATATTCAATACAGCAGAGCAGTTAAGATTTTGGGCTGTGGGATTAGACCTGAGTTCAAATCCTGATCCCACCAGATTCTAGTTGTGTGATTTGGGGCAAGTGATAGAAACTTCTACACCTTCGTTTCCTCATCTGTAAAGTAGAATGATAATAGTTCCTACCTTGTAGTTTTGATGAAGCTTAAATGAGATACCTGACCTGTGGTGAGTGCTAAATAACTGGTACCTATTTTATTTTCAGTAAAACATAGGACAAATGACATCTGCAGATCGTGACCAGCTAAAGGAGAGCAGAAAAGGGGAATTAGTAACTGGCATGCACAGGTGAGATATGCCCAAAGGGATGGGGACTTTCAGTAGGTGCTGAGATGGCAAAATGGGCCAGCACATGCTTTTCCTCCTCTGCCAGCCTTCTCCACCTGCCCTAGAGATGGTGGAGCTCTCTGTGCAATGGGTAGACATAGCCATGAACAGCACAGCGGGTGGTGACACTCAGAATGCAAGGCTGAGGGGGGGCTGCAGATGATACAGTGCAGAGGGCTGCATGGATCTGGGACACATCCTGTGAGCTGTGTGTGAAGGGTTGTCCTCCCACACACTGGGGTGCTGAGATCCCTGGGTAAAATAATAACAGGGGTATACATCAGGAATGGTTCCTGTGTACCCCTTTGTGAGAATACAAATGGGAAGACTCAGACACAGATGGCTGCATTTAGAGTGTAAGTAGTACAACACTGGTTTTGAAAAATTCACTACCAGGTCATTTTTTCAGCATATATTTATTTGTTACCATGTTCCAGGAGCTGTTCTAGCCACTTGAAAAATATATATATAAACTCATATATTCCTCCCAATAACCCTTTGAGGTAGGGACTATTATTGCCCTCATTTTACAAGTAGGGAAACAGGTGTTGAGACAGTAAGTCACTTGCCAGAGAACACAGTCAGTAAGGAGCAGAGCCAGCATTTAACCTAATCCAAGGCAATCCTGGCCACCTTTAGTTCCCTTTGGTGGAGAAACACTGCTCAAGCCTGCTTTTAGGAGCAGGTTAAATGGTGCCTGCCCCAGGTGGTCGTAAAATCGTGTGCAAGGAAGGATTTGCACATGGCCCAGGGCAGGAGGAAGGGGCAGCTTCTTGCTGGTAGAAAAGGGAGATTTCTCCCTGACCCACTGGTTGAAGAGTAACTCGGATTTCCAAGTGTAGGGTGGGCTCTCTTAAGAGTGGTTTAACAGCTGGGGAAAAAAAATGATAAGTTTCTCTGGTTTTTTTCTTCCACAAATAGGATACGTTTTTGTTGAATGAGTAAATGTTTGTTAAATGAACCACCTTGAGGCTGGATTCCAGCCAGCTGATACCAAATTTATGGCATAGTAGAGAAGTAATTTCTCTATTAACTTTTTCAGGGTTCAAAAATGTATTGTAGGCATCTTCCACATAGGAAAATTTGTAGAACCAATGCTTCAGGCTAGAGATTGGCAAGTGAAAAATTACTTTGGACCTGTGGCAGCCAGCTTTGAACCGTTGGGTGCTCCTTCCCCATGTGGAGAACAAACGGTTAGATGACGGTCATAGCAAGCCCTGAGCCTAAATTCAGAGCCCGTCTTTAGCATACTTTAGGCCTCATGGCCTGCAGACTGGTTTTCTATTTTCTCCCTGGTCCTGGGGGCCAACTCTAATGAATACTTTTTCCTTTGTTTGATATCTCCAAATTATTGTTTGCCATTTTATTTGTGGTAAGTGAAATGCTTTTTTTAGGGGGTATGAAAAAATCAGTAAGAAAAAATCAGTAATTAATTCTCTCTGGAGCCTCTCAGGTGTGGCTCCTCGGCTGCTCACTGCTTGAGCGGCAGGTTGAAGAGGAAATGCCACTCATGAAGGGAATGCCCTGGCCCAGATTCTTTGACATGCTCCGTGCACGGCCATGCTCATGACTTTCTCCCATGAGGGTAGTGGCTGTTACAGGGTGCTCCCCCTCACCCTTTCCAGGGAACCCAGAGATGGCCCAGAGCCAGGCCCTGCTTCCACAAGAGGCCTCAGAGCCTGGCGCCCACTCCAAGCTGGGCCTCAGTCCCTGGGGTGTGCCCTGGCCTGGTCAGCAGGATAGGTTCGTGGAGGAGAGGGCAAGAGCCAGACTTTGTTTCATAAGAAGTTTCTCAGCTTTCACTTCTGCTTTCTCATACTTGGGATACTTTTTCCCCTCACTTTCTGTTCTCTTAAAGTATCTTGATTTTAAAAATTAAGACTGTGGAAGGCAGTTTCTAGAGGGCAGAGAAAGTTCTATTTTTGACCTGGGGCTGGCTATATGAGTGTGTTCACTTCATGGTGTCTTGGAGCTGTACACTGAGGATCTGTGTGCTTCTCGGTCTGTATATGTTACCTCAACAACAAGAACGAAGATTCTGTGATTTATTATGAGAGGAATATCAGCTCATCTGTTACCAAGAGAGAACTCAAGAAAAGGTGATGCAAGAAGAGGCTAATCTGTTCTAATTGCTGTGAAAATGGGGAGTCCAAGGTGAAAGTGAGGACTACGCCAATAATTTTACTTTCAGATATTTATCCTATAGAAACAAAGATGTGTGCAAAGTTTTAGTAGTGTTACTATAGTACTGAAAAATTGAAAACAATTAAATGCTGAGTAATAGTTAAATAAATGATGGCACAACCAAAAATAGAAAGCTATTTTGCCGTTAAAAAGTATGCTATAAATGTTTATTAAAGCCACTTATAAAAGCATAGTGCAATCCCATTTTTAAAAAAGCAAAGTACATATTTTACATATATGCATAGAAAATAATCAAGAAGAATGTACACCATAATATTAACAATGGATTCTACCTGAGGTAAAGAATTGTGGGTGATCCTTATTTCCGTATCTATGTAAGATTTTTCTTCCAATGAGCACACATTTCTTGTACAACACCATAAGGGAGGAAATGCATGGGTAGGGCAGCAGTTTTGGCTCTCAGCCTCCTCACCAGAGTCTGTCCTGCCACATCCTCACATCTGTTGGTCGAGGGGAGGCTAGGGACTGTGCTGGCAGCTCTCTACCAGTTCTGCCTTTACAAACTGTAAAAAGTCATCGATGATCCCAGGAGCATGTTCAAATATGGCATCTCAAGTTTAGAGATTCAAGAGGACCTCTGTTCAACTTCGCTGAAACTCAAATCATATTTGTGAAGGGGTGGCCTCTCCTCTTTCCTGGGTCCCTCTGCAATGCAGGGCCTGGGAGAGCAACTTCACCTCCACTTAGATTTTCTTTCAAGATGGAGTGATTCATTTTCCAGGATTCAGTTCACCCCTTCCACTTTATTTGAGGAATTCCTGTCTATACAATTTCACGCCTGACTATGAAAAAGTCTGTTTAACTACATTACAGAACTCTGCGAAGGGCAGAAGTTCTCTTGTCTTATTTCCTTACCTCCTCAGAGCTCTGGGTGCAGTAATGGGTCTATCACAGGTGCTCAAGAAAGAACTTGTTCCCTTGCGGTTTGAGACACAGTACCTCACGCTAAGACAGAGGCCTCCAGAAGAAAGACCTGAATGGTGTGGAGGAAGAGTCTGAGCCTTGATGTGACTCAGCTAAGCTGCTCCCTGTTTCTGGACTTCAGCCTCCTCCTTTGTAAAATGGGTGAGAAAGAGGTTTGGGCTGAGTGGGGGCCGAGGCCCCCTGCCAGCTCTAACAGCCTGATTCTGAGAACACAGCTTGCGGTAGCTCTGGCCTGCCCGCCCTTTACCCCAGCATGTGTGCACAATGGTGTTGTAACCCTTGCGGTGTACCATTGACATTATATAGTCCTGTTTTGTGTCAACTGAAGTAAACACATAAAGAAAAAGGAACCCTTCCCACCCCACCTGCACGAATATAATAATGACAATGAATACATAAGGAAGGAAGGCTAGACAAACCAAAAGGGAAGGACTGTTGCTCTCCTCATGCAGAGAGTTCTCAGTTTGAAGGCTTGTAGTGGCTGTCGCACAGGGCCTGTCGCCATGTTAGACGTATCTCTCTGAAAAGGTGGGCTTGCCTGCAGGTCTGGCCACGGGCCTGAAAGAGAGGCAGGCGACCATCATTGCAGCAAGAACCCCTGCAATGCAGCGTAGCATCCGTCCCTGTCTACCCAGCTCCTCCAGCCTCCCAGACTGTCAAGGTTCTGAGGACTTGTCCCTGGGGCAGTAGCAGGGGACTGGGTGAGTGACCTCAGCAACCCTGCCAAGCGCCTTACTTGTGCCATCTTGTTTAATCCTCACAGCAACCTGGGGGGTAGGCACTGGGAGTGAGAGGTTAGGGCACGTGCCGAAGGGCGCATAACTAGAAGGTAGCAGAGCCAGGATCTGAACCCAGTTAGTCCAGCTTCTTGGAGCCTTTGTCAAGATCCCATGGAGGTGAGAGGAGGCTGATAACCAAAGTCACCAGCTGACCTGATTCTCAGCCCCCAGGAGGATCACAGGGAATGGAGAGGCTGTGAGCAAACCACTACTGTCAGCCAAGTAGAGCTACTTTATCTAAAGTCCCTTTGACAACCCAAATTTGATGTCACACTAAAAATGTGTGTTATTTCAGTACTAGGCTAGCGCCTCCCAAATGCGCCAATTCTTCCTGAGTGTCATGTCTACACACTGCGTCCTCCAAAACCTCTCTGTTGAAGCTGAGCTGCCCTCCATCATCAACTCAGGTCTGCGATTCCTCAGCTGTTTAGTCTGCATAGCTTTGTATTTCAGGGCAGAGTTTTATTCTCAGTTATTCATTTCAAAATGAGAATTTTCAGAAAAGATGGAAAAGAAGGGATGGTTCTCCTCCAAAAGCTTCTAACTGCAGCTTAAGAAATTGAAAATGCTAAAAATCTTTCTGTTTTTAAAGTCTTTATCCTCTTGGTATATCGCCTATAATATATGCATTGGAAATTGATCACATTTCCATTGTTAAAAATAATAATGTAGGGCCAGTCCTGGTGGCCTAGTGGTTGAGTTTGGCACACTCCACTTTGGCAGCCCGGGTTCAGTTCCCGAGCATGGACTCACACTGCTCGTAAGTCAGTGGCCATGCTGTGGCAGCGGCTCACATCCAAAAAGAAGAAGATTGGCAACAGATGTTAGCTCAGGGCAAATCTTCCTCCACACACACACACGCATAATAATAATAATAATAATAATATATAAGATGTTGAACTTGTATTCCTGCAGAGAAATAGCAAGGAGTGTGAAATGCAAACCCCAGGTATAAAATCTGAAATATTTTCATCTACTGAAAGGAACAGGTGAATATGGTTGGTTGTCCTTAACCCCCCCTCCCCCAGCCCCCAACCACAGGAAGGAGCCTGAGCTTTGAACAGGCATTGCAGCTCTGCTACTTTCTGGCAATATGGGCTTTGACAAGTCACTAAATGTCCTAAGCCTCAGTTTCCTCATCCATAAAATGGTCATCACAGTAACTACTTTAAAGGTTGTTATGAAACTTGAAATTTAAAATATATGTATAAAGTAACTGGTACACTGTAGGCTGTCATCACATAGTTGTTATTATTATTGATAATCTGATAGCAAGCATGTCTCTGCCACCTTGGGTAGGTTTCCTGATCTCTGAGCCAGAGATAGGACTGCTGTATCTACCACATGGGGTTGCTGAGTGTTGCCCCCATCACAGTGCTGGGCTAGAGCGGGTGCTTGTTAAACTGAGCCCAGGGCTGCCTCAGCCTAAGCAGGAAGGAGAGAGGAGACTGAGGCCTCTCTTCCAGACACTGGTTTTTGTTTTTGTTTTTTTTCCTGATCATTTCAGAATGATCATGGGCTGGAATTGGATGGGACAGTCACTTGAGTTGCCAGAGAGCTAATTGCCCCTGCCTCTGGTCCTCCCTTCGTCCACTCCAGTCCTTGGCAGCAAATCAAAGCTCTGCTTTGGCACAGGGAAATTAGGAACCTAGGCCACTATTTATTTGGTTCAGGCGATAAAAGATTGGCTCTCTCTCAAAACACCAGACTTAACAAGTAGAAAAAAAAAATTTCTTAAGAAAACAACAAAACTCAGCTGGAATTATCTAGATAAGAGCCCTCATGTCTTTTGGAGAGCTAGGATTAATTGGGGAATATTTCAGATGGGTTTTTGGTGCTAGGCCACATAAGATGGAGATTTACTGAAGTCACGCTGCTCTCCCCATCAGCTCAACCCGGGCCTCCATTTTCTCCACCAGTCCAGCCTTCTGCCTCTCTTTGCTCAGGCACCATGCTGACTCTCTGCGCCCAGAACTCCACTGCCATGGCCTCTCTCTGGGAAGTTTCCCACCTACTGCTGCTTGGGGAGCCAGGACCTGTGCCCAGGGCTGCCCGGGGTTAGCAGGCCCAGGGGTTACAGGAGACTTACCTGGGACATTTGCAAACACGTCTTCGGTTCCCTGGATAAAGAAAAAGAAGAGATAAAGTGACTGCGCTCCCCACCCCCCAGCCCCGCAATAGTCCCCAGTATGGTTTCTCCTTCCCTTTTCGTATTTCTTTAGGATTATAATTCTTGAGAGTTCAGGTGAGGGCTTCTTTTCCATCCCTCTTATCTATTTAAAAAACAGTGGAAATACAGATGTGGATGAACGGGGTTAGTACAGTCCCCTGCATGGGACGTAAAGCAGGGGTTCGCAGGGAAGGGGCCAAGGGTAAATCTCAGCCTGTAGTGTTTTGGACCCAGCCCTCCTGGGCACTGGTCCCAGGGCCACAACGGCCCCCTCCCGCGCGGGCGTTTCTAATAAGCCGGGCCCTGTGCGCTCGCGGCAGCATGTGCGGATGGAACACACCCGCTGCTGCTGCACCGGGGATAGGACCCTGTCTTCCTAAAAACCTCTGGGAGAGCGGAAAGAGGGGCGGGAAGGGGCTTTCCCGCTTTCAGTCTCTGGGAAAGAAATGGGCTGTGCCTGGCCCTGCGGTGCAGCTCGGAAGTCCCAGAAATCTCAACCCCGTCTCCCCGCAAGAGCTGTCTAGAGCAAGCAGCGCCAAGGGCCGGGGTGGGGCAGACCTCTCCGCGCCGTGGTTCCCTAGGACTTACTGTAGTTGCAGATGATGGTGATGAACAGCGACAGCAGAAGGACCGCGCAGGTCCCAGCCAGGGGCGCCCAGATGTAGATATCACAGTCGAAGTCCAGCCACTTCTTGTCCACTGTCGACACCAAAGACGCCGATATTTAGGAGCGAGCCCGGGATCCCCCACCCCACCTCGCCAGCCCGGGCACGCCTCCCAGTTCCAGGGCTCGGTTTCCCAACCCAAGACAGCCTTTGGCTCTACTTCCAGGATCAGGGCTGGCCCTGGCAGGGGCCCTCTCCGCGGTCCGCACCGCCCCTGGCTCGCCCCCGCCCCGGGCCCTTGCGCCCGCCTCACCTGCTCTGCCCGCCGCGGGCCGGCACTCCTCTGGGCGCGGGGTCGCCGGCTGCGACGCGTTGGTGGGCGCCCGCGTGGATGGTCGCGGCGTGGGTGGTGGCGGCGCGGGCGTCGTCGTGGGCTTAGCTGCGGGAACAACAGAGCGTGGCTGGAGGCCCGACTGGGGCTGTGGACACTAACCTCCCCCCACCCCGTCCCGCACCTTTGCTCAAGGGGGCGCCTCCTCCCGGTTTTCCACTGGAGGAGCGATAGACCGCCGCCCGCGCCGCACTCTGCACTCAGGGCAGGGGAGACCGGGTGGGGACCTTCCGGATTCGCGCTGACACCTTCGCGACGGGCGCGGTGGCCGGCTGCGTCCTGGGCACACCGGAGCGCACCCGGCGCCTCGGACGGGAATGCAGGAGCCCGCTCCTCTCCACCTAGCCTCTCCCCAGGGCTCAACCAGCAACTTTGTGGGCTTGGGTTGATATCCTCATTTTACTGACGAGCAAGTGAAGGCTCACAGAATTTAAGTAACTTGCCTAGGACCACGCAAGCACCTAAACTCGAGACCCCAAAAGCCATTTTCAGTCCCTACCCAGCCGCACTTTAGCCTCAGTTTCCTCGTCTGTGAAATGGGAACAGTATCTAAGCAGCCCCCAGGGCCCTAAGAGACTCCAAAGCGGGGCCTCCCGTGAAAGACGGGTTCAGAGGTGAGCCCCAAACCCCACACCGAGAGGTGCCCCGCCCCCAGCGCCCGGACCTGGCAGGAAGACGGGCACGAAGGGGCTGAAGTACATTATTGAGTTGCTCAGGATGGAGCAGAAATAGTAGCCTTGGTCCTCCTCGCGGAAGCGGCGCAGGGTGAGGCCGAAGACGCTGTCCTGGGCCCTCTCGCCTAGGAACTGGTCGGTGTCCAGCCCCTCGGCCGTCTTGATCCGGCCTTTGCTGATATACATCAGGAATTTGGGGCTGGCGGCAGGTTCGCGCCCCTGGTAGAGCCACGAGCAGCCCGATCCGTAGTTGGACAGCCGCACCTCGCAGCGCAGGTCCACCCTCTGGCCCAGTTGCCCCTGCACGTCCGGCGGCGTCATCCGGAACGAGTTCGACCCGAGGGCCAGCGCGGCGTCTGCAGGGGGCAGGCGGCGAGGCTGAGCCGGAGCCCCGCGCCCCCCCCCCGCCCCCCGCCTTTCCCAAGGGTCGCAAACTCACGGAGCAGTAGGGCCAGCGGCAGGAGCAGGGCGGTCACCGGCGAGGCCATGGCGCGCTCCCCGGCGCGGTTCAGCTCGAAGCTCCCTCGCGACCCGAGGCGCGCAGAAGCGGAGGGGATGCAAAGGGGGAAGTTGCGCCCTTGGGCCGGCCACGGAGCCCGATTTCGCATTCGGAGGATGTGATGTCACCCGAAGCCTCGTCAGGAGAGAGTCGCCCTTCTTTTCGCGGTTGTCACTTTTCAGCCCAGGGAGGGGGCTGGGGTCCGTGAATGGAGGCCGTCGAGGCAGTCTTGCGGGGCATCTCCGGGCAGTTGAGAACTGCGAGTTTGAGGATGAGGAAAACGGCTTGGAAGGACCCTTGGAAATGGCTCCTTTGTGGGCGACACAGAGGACCAAGAGGCTGGAGTAAGCAGGAAAGTGGGGAGGAGTGTTCACTTCCTTTGCCCTCACTCCAAGTGTCTCTGGCACTGTCCCCTTGGGGCTTTTTGTCTGCAAAATGGGCACGGAGGGCTGAGAAGGAAGAGGAGTTAGTGGCTTGCCCACTTCTCGGGCAGGGTAGTCCGGGTGTTCACCGAGGGCGGACCTTCTCCCTTCCACTGAGGAGCCTTTCATGGGGCAGCAGCCACCTGAGCCTTGTGTGGGGCTGGCAGACCTCTGCTGACCACACACTTGGGGCTTCCCCCAGCCGCTACACCTCACCACACAGCCTCATCCCTTCTTGGGGCCACACCAGTCTCTCTCCCGCCCGGTCCTCCAGCCGCCGTGCTGTGATCATTATTCTCATAAAGGGGATCTAATAGTGACCCTCCTGCAGCCTCCCATGACCTGCAGGACTGGATGGAAGCTCAGCCCTAGCTTGGCTCAGAGCCTTTGGGGACTGGCTCCTTCCAGCCTCTGCCCAGTCCTCTGCAGCTGCATTCTCACAGGGCTTCAGGTTATCTAAACTCGGGACTCCTCTTGCCTTTGCTGTTCCCTTGGCCTGGAATGCCGTTCTGTGTAAGCGCTAGGGCCAGCTCAGGCGCTGTGGGACTTGGACCTCCTTTCTCTGCATCCCCAGCTCTGGGTGCTCGGCAGGGACGTGTGTACAGCCTGGGTGAACGCTTGGGCAGTTTGCCCTCTCTGGCCCTGGCACACACGTGTCCCCTTCCTTTTTGTCTATTGCTGTCCTGAAACCTTCCAGCCCCAGGGGGTGCCCTCCTCTCATTTCTTCAGGGTTCCCAGGTCTTCCCACTTTGAATCCTATAGTGGGTGCCCTTTATGCTGCTGCTTGATGCTAGAGTTAAGCCACCTGGCATCATCTGTTCCGTGTGTCTGCCCACCTGTGAATTCGGCCCAGACCATGTGCCAGACACCCCCCAGATGTCACATCACAGCTTGGGCCGAGCTGTTTGCAGCATTGCACTCTCCTCGTGGGGTCTGAACTTAAGTGTTGAATAGGCTTTTTAAAATTATTACTTTGATATCAGTACCCCCCACCCCCACCCTCCTTGAAGCATCCAAGGTGCTTACTCTAACTTGGAACATTTAACATTTTATATTTGGAAACTTTTTTAAAGTGTTTTTTAAATTACAAGAGTTATATATTCTTGAAAAACTTCAGACAACACAAAAAAGAATACCGGGAAAGTTCTCTGTCTCAACTCTCCTCACCATCTTCCCTTCTCCAGAGAAAGCCGCTGTTAGAGTTGAGTGTGTCCCTCAAATATTATCTGTGCATAAACAGATGTTTATACATTGTTTTAGACACATGTGGTTGTACTTTGTATATATTTTTTGCAACTTACCTTTCTTATCTAAAAGTAGAAGAAGAAAAGCTTGTCACGCTAGCACACGTAGATCTACCCCATTCCTCCAGATGGATGCCTTTTACATGGGTATTCCATAATTTAGCTTTCCTATTAATGGACATTTAAGCAGTTTCTCAATTTTTGCAATTACTAGCAAGGCTGTAGTAGATACAATGTATCTGTACATTGTATCTGTAACATTGAAGACTGGCACCAGCACTTGTCACCTTTTCAAATGGAAGATGAGGGAGGTTGGGGAAGAAAAACTCTTTGTAATGATGGTTATGACTGTGATACACAGCAGTGGATCCCCTGGCATATAGATCTATGCATATGTGTGAGTGTGCCTATGTGTGTGTGTATCCCTGGTTGTGTAGACACAGTTCTGTCTCTTAACTCATATGAATGAGGGTGAAAAGGAAACAGCCATGTCTAGACAGGCCACCAACAAGGCAATCCTCGTTTTAGGTAGTTTCTCATTTTGCTTCTCTGTTCCCACTGCAGGAGGAGAGTCAAATGGCCCTGCTGGCCAAAGGATACCATCGGGAGGGTAGGAAAGAGGATGACCAGCCCTGAAAGTATCCCTCACCCTGGGGAGGAAGCATTGGAGGGGCACCAGAGGCAACCTGCAGATACTTGGATCTTGGGAACCAGGTCCCTGAGTATGATGATGGCCGATTATGGGGTGCAATGCTTGAAAATAGAGTAGTCCCATCTCAGTCTCCCAGAAGTGAGCTGCAGCTGGCTTGGAGTCCTTCCAGCTTTGCACCGAAAAAAAAAAATGTCAGCCTTAGGGGTGGCAGCCCCTTTGTACAGAGACTGATGGGGGGGGCGGTGGCATGTCAAACCCACCAAGGAGGCTTTGTGACCCCAATGATATTTTTCACAGCATGCGGTGGAGTCTCAAGGTAACCACAATGACATCCTCCCTGCAGAAGGCAGGAGAGCAGATGCAATTGTGCAAGTTCTGGGGATGCTTGCTTGCTGTAGGGCCAGGTGTGCAGAGGGCTGGGTGGGGCCGGCCCGTCACTGCCAGGTAAGCTCCTACATCCCACACTGTGGCACTCCCGAGGGATGGTGTGAAGAAATGAGAACAACCGTATTCCATCAAGCAAGCCCCTTATTTTTAAAAAATCCAGAGAGAGACAGGATAAGAGAGTTACCAGTCTCTATGCTGAATTTAAGCAGGTCTTTGTTTTTCTCAAGGTGTTTGTTCTTAAAACATTGAAATAAAATAATTTTAATTTATATGAATTAAAGACATATTCAGAATGCATAGCTGGGCAGGGCAGTGGTGGTAAAGTAATTAGCGCTCTGTGCCACAGTTCCTAAGACGCCGACTCAGGGACAGCCTGGAATCACGGCTGTGGAAGTGGCCTGCTGTCTCCCTCTGCCTATCCAGGTCTATGGAGATGTTACTGTCTCTTTGGAAGGAGTTAACTTATTTGAGCCCAGAAAATCTTCTCAACTCTAGAGTTATCAGGGCCTTGCTTTATCTCAATCATAAATACTTGTTAATTCTTTCTCACTTCTGTCACTCCCACTTTCCTCCACCTTGGGACCTCCAAGTTCATCTAGGCTACTGTCATCTCTTGCCTGGACTTTTGCAGTGGTCTCCTAACCGGCCACCCTACTTCTACTCTGGTCCCTTCCAGTGCTTCTGGTCTCTCCCAGTGAAAATCTCATCCTGCTGACCTCCTGCTTCTACCCTAAGGACTTCCCGTAGTCCCTAGGAGAACATGCGAATGCTGCCTGGCCCTGCACACTGGGCTCTGCAGCCCCATTTCCATCCTCTCCTGCTCGTCTTCTTTGCACCTCCTAGGCTTGGCGTCTCTCCGTTTCTCAAAGGGTCCCTGCTTCTTTCCACCTCAGTGCCGTTCGAGCATGCTATTCCCTCAGCCTGGAATGTTCTCAGTTCTGCTCTCTGCTCAGTAAACTCCTCTTCCTCAACACCCAGCTCAAGCATCTCTTCCCTGTGGAGCTCAGCCCTTTGCCCCCTTCCACTTTCAGGCAGTGTAGAAGACATCCTTTGCATCACCTGGCCCTTGGGCTTCCCTGGACTGGAGCACAGCAATGGTTGGTCTGCTCATCCAGCTTGAGCACCAGACTCTTGGTCTCTTGAGGAAGAGACTTTGTCTTGTTCATTTTTATACTATGGTGCCTAACAGAGGGCATGGCATGTACTTGGTCTTCAAGAAACCCTTGTTTGGTAAAAGCTAACTGAAGGCAAAAGCAGGGTAGAGCAGATCAGAGGAGGTAGAGATAGTTCTTTTCAGGTAAGTGTGGTCAGGAAAGGCTTTAAAAGTGATTGATTTGGAGATAAGGTAAGAATTAAGAAAGAGGTTGGTTAGAATGAGGCATTCAACTTCTGGTCAAGATGGTGCTGATACCACGCTTTAATATGAGGCAGTGATAGGACTGAAAGTAGAAGAAGGAAGAGGAGGAAGGGGAGAAGGTAGATGCATTCCAAAGCAAGGTAAATATTGTTGTGGATGTAGTTGTGGGACCAGGGTTGAAATCAGGGGCTGGCTTGCTGGGGTCTGTTCTTGGGTGTGGGTCTTGAGGGTCCTTCTTGGTGCAGAGGCACCAAGGGTTTGACTCCTTCAGCTAACAGGGTCCGAAAGTGTTTCACCTGTGGAGAGAGCCTGGAGCCAGGCTTGGGTCAGGATTTCTCTTGGTAAAAGCCTGGAGAAAGCTGTGTGCATCTCCAGAGTCATGGCTCATATGGGGCTGCTCCCCTACAGTGATGGGAGGAGAGGTCAGAGACTGGAGCTGCTTGATCCCCAAGGTCACCACTGGACAGGAGCCCAGCGCCACCAGTATAAGGCCTGGTTCTAACTGGGGGCCGTGGAAAGTCAGAGGCTACCAAAACCCCAGAAAGATGGAGTGTAAAGAGAGAGAGAGATTTTAAAAATTCCCATTCAAGATGAGCCTATGTACACACTCAAAATCCAAAAAATACATAAAGAAATTTAACTAAAATTGAGATGGGAATTCACTCTAAAAGAGATGTAAATTATGGGACAATTGGAAAAGTGTTTAAAATAAAAAGAACAAGAGTGTGTAGCAAATGCAGAAATTAAACAAGAACAACTGACTATGATAAATACTGAGCATACTGGAAATGAAAACTCTAGACATAAACTAGGATACACTCTAGATTGGACATAGTTGAAGGGATAGTTAGCAAAATGGAAGCTAGCATTGAGGAATTCATAGAGAATGCAATGCAGGGAGATAAAGATAGAAGCAATATGAAAAGCTGTTGCGATGTGGACCAGCACTTTGAAATGTTTAATGGGATTTCAGAAAGGAGAATAAAAGGAATGTGGAGAAGGAATATTGGAAGAGATCATGGCTGAAAATTTACCGTAATTAAAGACACAGTGCTCAGATCAAAAGTGCTCTCAGAGTACCAACTAGGGTAAATAAAAATATATCCATCTCTGAACATACCAAAGTGAACCACAAGACATCACGAGCCAAGAGAGAAAGGCATCCTAGGAGGCCAGAAGAAGTTGGGACGATGTTTGAAATATGTATGAGGAAGGCTTAGTCACAGCTTGGACGGGGT